ATACAGATGGTATATAAAAACTACAGTACTTATAGCATCACTTCACAAGTATTTCAACTGAGACCAGGAACAAGTCGAAACAACAGATTGGTAGTCCAAAATACGAGGTGCGTTTCGGGATCCGAAACACTGGGTTGTGATGACTGAGCAACCAGGCAGCGTTCTTGTGCGAGTGGCCGAACGTGACACGACGGCGTGCCAAATGGTATGGATGCTTGAACACGCACCCCCAGTTAAACACATTGTCAATGGAGTTGAAGATTGGACGATCAATTCTTGGTTGTTTGCTTAAAATCAACTTCCCCAATTTTCGCGGAGGCATCAATACGACAGTCATCGTCTCATCGGTCGCTGTTCAGAAAGAAGAGTGAAACATCGTCAGAAGTAATCTTATGATTTATTATTGTAATATTTGTTTTCAGACCTTAGTTTGCTTAGTTCGCTTATTCCTTTTATATGTTGGTGTAACAATAAACAAATCTAAAGCGGCAGATCGGTGTTTTGGTTTTTGCGTCCGTTATAACTAAGCGTTTCTGAGAAATCTTCGAAGAACAGCGTGGGCCCGAGCGTAGCGAGAGCTGGGCATTAACGGTTTATGAGACGAGACTGACAGTTTCTGACGATAGAAACAGATCTGGCGGATTGAAACAGTTGGTGAAAGTTTGGATAGTCGCCGTTCATTTTTCCTGGTGCCGGTCAAGTCCTCTTTGAACAAGCAATATCTGGAACTTTTTGGAATTGGGTCAAGTTCAACAATGCCTGGGTCAAAGAAGGGACAGAGTGTCTTGGATGCAAACAGGAAAGTAAGTCATGGTGACTTGTCTGTTAATTGTAACGATGTGTCTGATGTTAAGCATGACATGGTTGATGTTACTGTTTCGCCGTTCAGGGATAATAGGAACATCAAACTCCCTAAATTTGAACCACGGTGTTTTGATGGAAACCCGGCTGATTATTTACAATTTGTAAAGGAGTTTGAGATCATGTTGAGTGGTTTTCTATTAAATGATGAATTGAAGTTAATGTATTTGATGAGATATTGCACTGGAGATGCTGCAAGAGCTATACAGTGCTGTAAGTTTATGAAGCCAAAGGAGGGCTACGATGAGGCTATGAGCATATTACGCCAAAGGTTTGGAAGACCCTCGATGATTGCAGGGAAATTATTCGAGGCTGTTAAGGGTAATGGTGGTCAATTACAGGATGACTCCCAGGCACTCACTGAGTTTTTAGATAATTTGCTAATTTACAAGAATGGAATGATTTCGATGAATCGAATGAGTGACCTCAACTCGAGTTTTATACTAGAAGTAATAGCAAGACGTCTACCTACTCGACTGCAAAGGAAGTGGGTGAAGATGAGCTCCCGTATGGAGGATGAGGGTATCGAGCCAAAGTTTGATGATATCCTGAAACTGGTAAATACTAGTGTCAATCAATCTATGAGCAAGTTTTCCAGTCTGTTAGATCTCACCCCTAGAATAGAGCAGTCTGAGGGTAAAACGCACTCATTGATGACGAATAAGCCTCAGAGAGGTGGATATCGAGAAGACTCCATGATGTCTAGTAATGCATATAGACCTAGTGAGTGTAACAGGTTTCGTAGTACATCCTCAACAGATAAGTTACAAGATGCAAGACAAACACGGTTGTTTTACACGTGTGCAAGAGGTGCATACAGAAGTGAACTGTGAACCAGTGAGCAAGTTCAGTGATAAGCTAAATGTAAACTCCAGGTCTGACTCCGAATTGTGTGACGATAACGGTGTTGTGAAGAAGTCTGTAGTTGCAACTGGTAAGCCGTTGTTGAATAGAGTGTCACAGAATAGAGTTACTGCTTCAGAGTGGAGTTCTGACTCCAAAAGTTTACAAAGTATAACTAGTCAGAGTGAAGATATAAAACCTTTTATGATTTGCGAGGAGGAACCAAAATTGTCTACTTCTGTTATTAAAGAGTTTGAAAATGATGAACTTGACGGTAAATTGAATATTTGTGGTAATGATCATGATAGTGCAGATTTGTCTTTGGTTGATCATGATGAGATGAGGGATATGCCTACTACTGCTAAGTTAAATAAAGGTTCTGTACAACTTGAACGTGAAGTAGAATTGAATGCAGATGCAGTTCCAGAAGGCATGCATACTTGTGAGACAGTCAGTGTAATTGATCAGCGTGTAGCCCACCTATCATCAGATGATAGTGCTAAACCCGAACTAGTAGTGAAAGACAGCAGTGGTGGTAATCTTGCAGTTGGACAACTATCTGAGAGCCGAACAAGAACAGCTTCTGATCCACCACTAAGTTCATCACCTTGTGTCACTCAGTCATCGTTGGTGCTGTCATCCACAATGAAACAGACACCCATCAACTCAAGTATCTTGTGCAATGACTATGGTAGTATCAGTTCGTTTGAAAGGACGAATATCAATGGTCAGTTTAGTGTGGATAAGCCAAGTGTAAAGGAGAGAGTTATTGTTAAATTGACTTGCACGAATAAAGGCATTTCTAGTTTCAAGTTACTATTTGAATGTTATTATCTTTGGTGTAAATTACTCTGTTTCTATACTTGGTTGATGAGATATGTCGTGTGTTTGTTGGTCATCTATATTCTACGATACAATGACATGGGCGTGTTGCCGTTCAGATTTGAGGATATAGCTGATAGAAGGAAGTTAGCAAATGAACTCTGCGACGATTTTCCAACCTAGGGCGTCAACCTGAGAAGGGTTGTAGGCGTACTGGTGTAAGTCCTACAATTCTTCAAAGGGTAGCGCATCAATGAGCAGTCCAATGTGCTTGGTGTGTGATTTTGTACATATGTTCATATTGTATATACTGAATTGATATCATCTTTCATCTATCTGTTGGTAATTCTGTTTGTGTCCGGACGACTTCCACTTGGATCATCAACCTGAGAAGGAATGTAGGCGTACTGCTGTAAGTCCTACAGTTCTTCAAGGGTAGTTTGTCGTGTCAGAATCCACAACATTTGATGTGGTGATTGTACATATGTTTGTGTTAAATAGTTGTGTGAGTTCCAATTGATGTAATTGTTGGTTAATCTTGTTTGTGTCCGGACATTCCACAACTTACAATCGTCAACCTGTGAAGGGTTGTAGGCGTACTGGTGTAAGTCCTGCAATTCTTCAAAGGAATTCCATCAAGACATGATCGGCGAGGTTGTTTGTACTGTTTGTATATACGTGTGGTGTGTTCTATCAATTGGTGTTTTTGGATTCATTGTGTTTACTTGTTGTTTTCGTATCTTGTTGTTATTGCGTAATTTTGTTAAAATTTTCGTCGTGATTACTTCTGAAGTTGTTTCGAGTCTTCTACATCCGTGAATGAATTGATTGATGTTAAGGACAGCAGATGGGTCGTATACGCCGGGGAGGCTATTGCTGAGAATGAAATGCACACGGAGATAATTGTTAGCTGCGGTCCGACACGCCGGGGAGAAAGAGTGTAAACGACTGAGGCTCGCATGCGTCACCGCTACTAGAACTGAGGCAGAATGAGTGACAAGCGATTTCAGTGGTAATTGGTAATGAGTAGATAAGAGGATGTGCGTAGAGTATCGTGAGGTGCTACCATGGTCACTTTGCATTCTGCAAGAGTCATTCTAGTAAGTGGCGATTGTGTTGCAAGATGTCAAGAGGAGGTCTCTGTCTGGAGGCGCAGGTCGTCATTGATGTGTGAGATTGTGCTGTGGGTATGCTTGTGGTGTGTTGGCTTTTCTGTTTGTTTTCCATTTCAGCTCTGTCCGTGTGACCCAGGTTCTCGCAATGGCATCCAAGTCAACGTGCATTGGTCGTGAAGGAAAAAAGGGTTGGATCCCTTTTTTGCCGGGGAGTGTCAATGGAGTTGAAGATTGAACGATCAATTCTTGGTTGTTTGCTTAAAATCAACTTCCCCAATTTTCGCGGAGGCATCAATACGACAGTCATCGTCTCATCGGTCGCTGTTCAGAAAGAAGAGTGAAACATCGTCAGAAGTAATCTTATGATTTATTATTGTAATATTTGTTTTCAGACCTTAGTTTGCTTAGTTCGCTTATTCCTTTTATATGTTGGTGTAACAATAAAGAAATAACAAGTGGCAGATCGGTGTTTTGGTTTTTGCGTCCGTTATTACTAAGCGTTTCTGAAACTCAAAGGAACAGCGTGGGCCCGAGCGTAGCGAGAGCTGGGCATTAACGGTTTATGAGACGAGACTGACACACATCGACTCAAACAGTGAAGGTCAGCTCTCAGTGTTGAATGAAGAATGCTGTAGTGTAACAATTTTGGGAATTATTCACCACTACGTGCTCAAAGAGTTAACGATGCAATGCAGCAACACACTTCGTCATTGACCTTTGGGCTTATAAGGCGTGTTATTTTGCCTAGGCGTAAGGGGAGTTAAAAATAATTTATGTCGGAAGTGTACTGGTTTATTCACTTTAACTTATCAACATTTGTAACAAACAGTGTCCACACTCTGCATCAGTTCTTTAGATTTTACTGAGACTAGGCGACCTCAGGCTATGCATGGGGAATGATCAGACCGAATTTCAAGTCTTTCATCCCTATGACAAACTGTCTACATTTAAATGGCCAACCAGTGAAAGCCCTTATTGTAACAGTGTCACCGCTCCATACTGATACGTTAGAGGTGCAGTTGAATACCAATGTTTAAGGAACAAAAAGCTTTTCTCATCAGATGAATATGTCTTTGAATTCCTGATACCGCTAAACCTATACTTACTTACTTTTACTATAGCGTTCATATTGAAGATTGAAGTTGTTTACATCAGTTCTGTGAAGCGCACTGTACAACCCTCGTTTAGATGGCTACTTTCCGCTCTAGTCTGATTTCTCTGGTTATTTGTGACACGTATTACTATCTGTAGTGTTATATTAATAGTCCTATGAATCAAATGCTTGTTTACTTGCCAAAATAATCGAACAATGTGCCATTGTTTATTCGTGATGTGTGTGACCGCAAATATCCTAGAATCATGTCTGCTGATGAACTAGGATCCCACTCCCTTATCGAGTCAAGAAATGTCTCATCAGACATGATGGTTATTCAAGCTAGCTCTACAACATCAACTGAAGAAGCAGCTGGCCAACCAAGTTTCGCCAATGATGAACCTTGTACAGTTCAACCGGAGTCGAACGAAGAGCATCTTTCTTCAAACGAAGATCATCCCATTGTCAAACTTGAAGACCAGTGTCCCAAACAAGAAATCAGTCTTAGCGCGTCTAACCATGAGGTCACGCGCGCATTACTGCAAAGAAAACAGCCCCTCATGGAACTTGTCAGCTCAGAGGAGGGCTATGTTAGACGTTTGAAGCTAGTTAAGGACTTCTACATACCTGCAGTTTCCGCTCCTAGTACAGCTCCCTCAGGTGTTGATAACAATCCCTCAGGCACAGTAGGTTCAATAACTCACAGTGATTCGCAGAACCCACCACCAGTTGCTCCAGAGGATCTAGCTGCAAGGTGGAGAATTGTCTGGGGGAACTGGATTCAGTTGTATGAATGGCATTCAGCATTTCTCGAGAAGCTTGTCAGTCTTGTGGACAGTGATCCCGATCGCATACCAAAGCTTTTCATCGATTCACGTGCTCGCTTAAGATCCATATACTCAAAATATTGTGAAAACCATCGTAAGGCAGCTTTAATAGCGGAACAATACCAGGATTTCTTCGAAGAGCTGCGCATATATATTGGTGACAAGGAGGATGTTGTTTCACACCTAATGCAACCCGTACAGCGCATAATGCGTTACCAACTTCCAATCGCAGAGATTCTAAAATACACTCAGCGTGCTTGTTCCCCTGACCTTATGCTATGGAAAAAGACTCTTGAGATCATGAAAGAGATTCCTAAGGACACACAGCTAATTCTGGAGGTAAGTGAGGTGTTTCTTGTCTAGTTTGCTTTTGTTAAGGTTCTATACATTATTGACCCACTTATAAGCATGTCATTTAACCATAGTTTCAGACGAATGCACGTTGGGTCGTGGCTGTTTTTGCCAGGCTTGCGGTATTGACTTGATTATCCAACTTCAACTAACTTGTAGGACTGAAACTACTTCCTAACGATGGCAGTATGTTTGCTAACACACATGTAGCTGGTGCCTTTTAGTAGGTAGAGGAGCCTGTTAATTATTCTAGTTGTACCACATTTTTCGTCACAGGTTTAATACTATTAAAAATATTGGGAGTAGATAATGATAGAAGTGACGAACCACGTGCTCCCTTTCTGCACTTTTATTTTCACATTACTATGTTTTAATAAAGGCTGCAGTGGATCTATTCCCTGCTTAACTACAGAGTGGTATTACCTACCTCTACAGGCCTTAAGTTTGTGTCGTATTTTCTGTCTAAAATCGATTGTCCCACCGAAATAAGTATCTACTTGTCGCAGTATCTTACTGGTGTTCGATTTTTACTCTGACCATTGTAGTCTCACAGATGTGGCGATGACAGACAAACTCACTATTGTTAGGACGACTTCAGCTACTATGTACTAGCCTCCACTCTCAACCACCTATTGATTTAGACACTTGCAGCTTTTGAAGTTTGGTACGATTGTGAAGCATGTGAAGGTAGAGGTTTTGTACACAGATTTGGGTTTCGTCGAGTTACTGAGATACTGATGTGATGGTGGTTCCTGGTTCGTGGCGAGGTTTAAGTCTTCTACCTCAGATTTACGGAGATATTTATTTAGTGGTTAGGTCGCGTATTTCGGTTAATTGAGTGCTGTTCTCTGGAATCTGATGATCTGTAGTTGTAACTTCCGACACAACATTTCAGCTCTCCGGTTATCACATGTCAAAAGTATAAATGTTTGTTGTGAGGTAGAGGGTGGAATGACGGTTTGTTCGATCTAGTTTCTCGAAGTGAATTGACTCCCTATCACTAAGCAGAGTACATGAAGTTGATCGATAGTAAAAAAGATAAACGTGGTTGTAGGAAATGAAGAAAGTGTTTTCACTGTCTAGATTGCCGATTCCCACCTACCATACTGCTTGAAGAATTCCTAAACATGGATACCAAAGAATATTTAACAGTAGAATGTGCTGTTAAGTATGGTGGCTTTTGAAGATATGGGACTAGGGTACACAGTTGAACAATCGGTTAGCTGTACTGTTGAGTGAGACTTTTTATGTCGATGATGTCCACCTTACTGACTCATTATGGAGATAAGATAACTGAGGATATCTCTATTTGCGTGATGTTCTTCTATGTTCTTTATAATTGTGGCACATTTTCCTATCCTAGCGTGCCCCGGCGTCGTGCTGAGTTGGCTTGCAGAGAATAAAAGCTAGGGAAGGATTATGGACGCATGAAGTTTGTTTCGATTCGTTGTTATTTATTTTTAGGATGATTATGAAGCTATAAGTTCGTTGCGATAGTTAGCGATTGCAAAGCAACTGTTAACCGAATCGCTACTGAAAGCGTTACCGTTTATTTAGTTAGAGTTATACGTACTAGATTACAGCCGAATGGCGGTTTGAAAGTTGAGGACCAGTTATTAGATTCACCGAACCTCTTATGGAGGATTGCGGTGAGTATTGCAATATCCCTATTTCTGTGCATGTGTAGATAACGTTTGTCTGCCACATCCCAAATTCTCTGAGTGCTCATCTAACAACGTAGTCAGGGTTGAGTGTGTTCGTGAACTTTTTCAAAATTCTTCTCAAGCAGTACATGCCCCACAATCTTCATTGATGTTTCCAATACCTGTTTGAGATGGTCTCATCCTACTAGTCCTCACACGTCATTGTAATAGTATGGGTTCCATGTAGAAGGTCTGAGCATCAGTCAGACGTTATATGGTTGAGTGTCAGAATAATGTTGATCAAATAACCCTGAACAGCCGACTGAGAACTAGAAATGTGAAAACTGAAGTCTTTGTGATAAGTTTTGAATTCAAGACCTTACAGTGCTTATTGGGACGATTGTCATTTACCGTGACTCTTAATGCTAACACAAGCCTACGTTGTACCTTCTACCTCTAAAGGTATTCCTAGTCCTTCTCTTGGGCTTGGTCTTCTTCTAACTGTAATTTAACCCATAAGGTAAAAATCTGCTGAAGCTGGTTAACAATAAACTCTTGAAGTGAGACGCACTCGGCAGACATGACTGGTGACATGATCGTCTACTTCAGCGTCAGTGGAAAGGTTGACTGTGGCGGATATTATTCTTTAAGTTCGCTATGTGGCTTAGGGGATTTTGGGGCAAGTATTGATATGTGAGCATCCCCACAGTGACAGTTTATTCTGTAGAGTGTGGTGGCGATATTTTGGGTGGGTAATTCGATACTGATTCTTTCACTTCCATTCGTAGTGATATCAGTGCTCACTTTAATCAGCTGATATTCTTGTCTTTTACTGAAGTGAACTCCTTTATGAAGGCGTTTTCCTGTTTGTTTTCATTTATATACGACTTTTTGTTTTTCGTGTTGGGGGACAAATTTGTCATCCTTATTTCTTGGACTCTTTCCTTTTTCTCCATGATGCTGGTCTCTAGAATTTCATTTTTACGTTTTAGGATGCATTTTTGCTCAGTTTTCCTGCAAAGACGGAAGGTATGTATTTCTCTCTCCGAGAGCGTTTTTTTGTAATTGAGTTAATTTTTCCACGTAACTTTTTCGCTAAGCATATATTTCCCATGTGTTGTCAGCTTCAATCTTTGCGTTCAGGATAATCAGACAGATTATCTGTGATGAGCTGATGCTGAGCGCAATATTCTGCGTACAGCTATGTTATTTTAGTGAAACTACAAAATTTCAGTTTCTTTTTTTCAAGGAGACTATTATTGAACTTGTCTGAACGCAAATGTCTCAAAGCTTCTGTCAATCACCTCTCAAAACCGTTAATTTCAGCTGTTGCTGCGCCGGGCCTCTCGCTGCCTCCGAAGCCTTTCATAAACGCTTAGTACTAACGGACGCAAAAACCAAAACACCGATTGGCGACTCGAGAATTCATCCTAACACCAACATATAACCATCGTAATAACTAAGGTCCATGAACAAATATTACAATAATAAATCACGATATTACTTCTGATGGCATTTGATCTTCTTTCTGAACAGCGACCAATGTGACGATGACTAGTGTATTGATGCCTCAGCGAAAATATAGGAGGTTGGGTTTGAGCAAACAACCATGAATTGATCGTTCAATCTTCAACTACATTGACAGCCTCTTGCAATTGACAGCACTAAGGAATTTTTGACCTAAGGTGTGCACGTCCGTATGAGTTAATTGATGACCTCCTCACTTTGTGTATCTTACTTGGCTCCTTATTTTATCAGACATTTTAGATCTCTATCGAAAAAGTGGCATTTTTCTCCAAAAATTTCTAGTTGCACCGTCTGCAGACTGTCCATCGTTTCTTATAATAATAATTTATATTTTCATATAAACATAAAAATTTACATGAAAATGCATGCCATTTTTACAGGCAAGATCAAGTATGGTATAATGTCAAATCTTAAATTGTCTACAAGTTAATAATGTTTCAACAGTTAAATATCTGATATATATATATATATATATATATATATATATATAATTACACTCACTGTCTGAACCAGGCCGTATAGTTATTGAATTGTACAGTTGCCCCCCTGGTTGGGCGGGAAAATCAGATTCGTTTCGTTTTCATCCTGTGGTTGTAGGTGTACGATAACCAACCAATATTGAGGTAAGTACAACGTTTGCAAGGGATTGAAAGCTGTTTTAGAAAAGTTAAAGTGCTAAGGTGAATCATTAAAGTGTAATAAATTTAGTAAGTGCAATATATCATTAATAAATACATTTATATAGAAAACAGAATGGGGAAGTAATTAATCCCTAGGCCGACAACGTTCATTTGCAATGTATAATACTACCCATATAGTTCGTACTATCATGATGTCCACTTTTGGCTTTAATACAATTATTTTCAAGCCAGTTGTTTTTATTTCATGCCCTTTTGTCTATTTCTGCACAACCGTACCCTACAGAGAATAGGAATAGCATAAGTCGAGTCAAATTCATAAAGAGCTATAAAATGTTAGGTTTAATGGAATATAATGAGGATCAAGTAAAGACGTTATTAAAAATAAGTGAGATAAGACATTGTGAAATGGTATTTAAAGATCTGGCAATGGATAGCAAGTTAATTTATAAGATGCCCCATAAATCTGCGCAGAGCCCACGTGGTCGCATCTCAACAATAGGCTGGGCGAATAGTATATATTTAAAGGTAGAAGCATGATCTGTCAAGGCATTCATTATTATATTTTTCAAAATAAAGATCTAAGCCCTCATAAAAATCAGAAAAATCTCGGGCCATCAAGTCGCATACTGCTGTTCCTGCAGAATGGGGCGATTCACCTTAGTGACCACCACCATATCTACTGATCAGCCAGCGCCACCCTCCCTCACTTTTCATGTTCACATACTTTCTGTTTTTGGTACTCTGCTGCTCCTATTCATCTTCTGGTCGAGGTCGAACAACCCTGCATCTAAACTGAAATCAGGATTAATTCCAAACCATCTATCTCATAACCACCCAAATTCCATGAACGATCCAATTCTACAATTTGAAGACGCTGGCGAACATGCTGTGAATGAGTATTCATCATCTGAAATGAAGAAGCAACTGGTTTTCGAACAGTTTTCAACATTTTTCTGAACTTACGAATACAGTCCGCCATGCAGACACAAATGGAGCAAATGGAGAATTCTGGAATCGACCTCGACACCATTTGATGCAGTAAAACAACTTCATATGACCTCATCTAGTTTTCGCCTCCACGATCAAATTTCTTTCCTGTTATGAAACTACGATAAGACTACTGAAAAAATGGAATAAATATATCACTGATCTCGATATAATACATCAATAAACTTTAAGCCAAGTGTGCTGTTCACAACAA